CCAATCGAGTGAAATGAACTTTCCGTATTTCGTTATCACGCGATGGTAAACATGTCAAAATTCTTTGTGAGAAAACAGCTCGTTAAATATTTGCCGAGCAATACGGCTCATAGTTTGAACAATGTGACTCTTCTGTTGGGAAGATGTTCAAATTCGATACAAAAATGGAAAATATAAAACAAAGTGTAACCATAGATGCAGCATTTGATCGTGACGATCGTGATGCATTAAGCCAACGCTGTTTTCGCTGTAATGGAGTTGTTGCTGCTTGTACGCTCCTGTCAAAATGATTCTTATCCGTTATACAACTATGCTTTGACAAACGTGTCTTGAATCGCACACCTATGCCCATAATGTCAGCAAATACCACTTGCCAAGAGAAACAGGTGCTACCAGGAACTGTATGGAGAGTTCTTGGAATAACCTTAAATAAATTAAACTGACATCAGGTGTGTAGAGGTTGTCATACCTCGTTTAAGGTAAACAGGGCTAAAGGCCTTTACAGTCGTGATTCACGAAGAAATTAGTGATCATCACTGTCTTTGAAAACATTTCTCGAGCTTAGAAGCAAGTGCAAGCAAGCGCGTTGTCGGCATAAGACTATAAGAGGAAGAAAGAAGTGAATACAAAGTGAGTGAATTACGCCCAAAGCGATCTTTTATTATGGCGGCTGGAATCATTGGTCGGGTGGCGACCAACGCGCACCAGTTCGTAAAGAGAGCGTGGATGGACCTGCGACTCACCTGATAATAGCTTGATTCCGCCATCTTGGACACTATACTCCACTCACTCACTCACTGCTTTCTATCCGTCCTTTGTGCATGGAACGACGAAGTCCATTGTGTTTACGCGAGTAATGTACGCTGCACTACCGAGATGGTTGGAAGTGTCTGCATTTCATATATTACCACACACGCTCGATTTTGCTCACGAGATGTTTCCAATGTAAATCTTTGAATAGGAAGAGACAAGAAGTTACTACCACAGGGAAGTATGAATGAAAGACGCGCGGCTCGCGAACGAAATGCAGACACGAGTGCATTCCACCGCACCAGATTGAAGACTGACGGAAAGTACCGGGCCAATCGTGGCCCAAAGGCGCGCGCATTGTACTGCCACCGCTATCGCTAAAGGTGCGTTCACGATATCACTTTTACGTCACCTCGGTAAAACAGCCCGTATTCATTGGCCAATTCCGATGGAACGTAATCGAAAAGAGTATCGAGTGTCTATATTCTTGATTTCTTCCTAACCAAAAGTTTTTTTATAAAATAGCTTTACATAATTTATTCAATTTATTAAAAATTATTGTACAATCATGCGTTATTTACATATCTAGTTTTCTATATAATTATACTTAAAAAATATTTTCTTTAATGAACACTTAAATTGATATTAACGTTCGTAAAAGATCCTCAGGAGTTCTTGAAAATAAACTATTTGGATTTTGATACAAATTTTTTGGATCGTGACAAGCTTCGTATAATTGTTTATAAATAGCTCCAATTACTTCAAAAGAACGTTTCTTGGTTATTGAACGATGATTACTGCTTTGCAGTAAACTAATTTGTGGCAGTAATAATACATCCGGCATTACTAAAAATGCTTCCAATTTGTTCTATAACACATTAAAAAAATTAAAAATTTAAAATAAAATTTAGTCGTTCATTCAATAATGAATTAATACATACTGTAAATTCTTTTACACTTAGAGGATCCATTCCAGGAATGGAAGATAACGGGCCTTGTTCGTGACCTTGTAAAATAGTATAAATTGGACCAAGATTTAAATGTGCCACTAATGAACTGGCTTGTTCTGATGTAAGAGTGTCAATTTGTGCGTCAGATTGCGCCTAAAAATATAGTTTTATCAATGGTAAAATATAGAAAAATTCGCAAATTGAAACATGTCAATTACTTGTAATCTTTCTAATCTCTGGTCCATATATTCGTATAATGCTAAAGTAGACTGTATTTGATGCATACAATTTAGAAGATATACAGCCATGTCTACTGTAGGTAATCTTGATGCTGTTTCATTAACTTCTTGCAACAGTGGATCAATAATGCATGATACTATCTGCAAATTATTTGATATGTGAATTTCAATAAAACATTGATTTTATAAAATAACTGAATGGTAATACAAACCTGTAGCATGTCTTTCTCCCTATCTTCAGCAATACTTGCTACAGAAAGAATTTCATTAAGAAGTGACAATAGTCTGGAAATAGATGGTGCAGGTACTAAATCACTTCCTGGAGGTTCTGCACGTTCACCAAGCGCAATGCGTGTCTCCTTTTGAAGTCTACTCAGAAAACTTTTTTCACTTAGTGTTAATAAATCTGTCAATGTTGAGTCCAAGGTACTATCTGGTATTACTTGTTGAATTATCATCTCATAAAATCTCAGAAGAGTTGTAACAGAATATAATATTGCTGCTGGTGCATCCATAGATATAACATTCTCTATTCTTGACTTCAAAGGATGACAAAGTCCTTCTGAGATATTACTTAAACACTGTTTAATCTGGTCTGATACATCTAAAATATGTAATATAACCTAAGAAAAATAAAAGTAAAAAAGCAATCGATCAATAGTTACCTGTTTTATCGCAGCCTTTCACCAAAGTAAGAATATTTTCCTTTTCAACAGGAATGACTTGATGAAGCCAAGCAAGCATGTCACCAATATATCTTTTAGGATCATTTGCATGCATTTCGATAGGATTAGGAGTATTACCATATCCTTCTCCTAGTGTTAAAGCATCTATAAAAGAACCTACTAATGCAGTTCTTCTAGCTGCACAATATTCATCTAAAATATATCTGAAAAGAAATATATAAATAAGTACAAGATTTAACATCTTTTAGAATCTTTTAAGATCCTTATCTCTTATCAAATTTTAAATGCATACTTAAATAAAACTGGTCTGTCTTGCAATTTATTCATTGCTTTAATTAATAATGGTGCTAAGCGTTCATTTTCAATATGTTTACATTGATTCTGTGTCCATCTATATAATCTTTCAAGGGCTGCCTCTTGCAATAGTGTCATTCTTTGCATAATATCTAGTCCTAAAGTTTGGTATCCTGACTGCATTAATATTCTACAACTGCTATGAATTTCCTATAATTTAAGGGATCTGTTATTGATTTATCTTCAATTTTACTTAATTATCTTACTCGAATTACTTTAATTATCTTACCTGAATACGATTAACCACAGAAAAAAATTCTTCTGTAATAGGTGATTCTCTTGTGGAACCATGTAAAACGCTTTGTTCCGATGAAGTCAATTGGAAATTTTTAATAAAAGCATTTGCAACTTCTTGTTGCATAGATAAAGTTTGGCTAAAAATTTTAAAATTACATTTCATATATACTTTTTTTTATTGATTTATTAGCAATAACTGTTGAGAAAATAAATGTACCTCTTATTCTGAAGTTTTGTAGTTTGAGCAATAAGTTGTGATGTTTGTGTTTTTGTAGCTTGTAAACGATTTGTCATACATTGAACTGTAGTATTCATAGCTAAAACATCTTGATATATATCATCTAATGAAGATTTTACTTCTCTGAAAGCAGATAAAAATTCTTCGTTTATTGCAAGACTTCTTCTTTCTATTTTACTACGTAAGTTCCTGCGAGAATTTAACGTATTTTCTGTAAAGAACGTGGATAATTCTTTTAAAGCTTCTAATGTATCCTAAAAAAGAAAGACACCTCAAATGAAATGTTTATTAATGTAAATAATAGTAATTGTAACAAAGTATAATATAAATACCTTGTCATGCTCAACTCTTGATTCAAGCAATTTATTAACTCTTCGAACTAATGTAGTATTAGTATTTTTTTCACTCATTTTAGGTATGTTTCTTTTTTTACACTCAAATTCATCGAAATATGTAACCTATTTATTTCAGAAATATCACGTAGCAAAAGTATGGAAGTACACACATAGCTATATGTATACAGAATACTCAACCACATACACAATCAACATCGATCTTTAAAGTAATAAACATGTTAGTCGCGGAAAATAGATTCAGAAATTTTATTTTTTAAATTATTGAACATTTTATTTTTCTATCTATTTAAAATTAAGCACTAATATTCGTGACGTTTTAAGTGTTAATTGAAAATTAGAAATCCTGATATGTATCTGTTTTACCATTCTAGTTTACCATCTAAGTTATTTCAATTTCGCGAAAAGGATATATATTTGCAAACTTTCAATATGTCATATCAGTTCCACGTTTTTCTTGTTCATTAAATGAACCTATATTTGTAAAATGTAATATTTTAGTAAAAGTAAAATATTTACGAATTATGTATAAATATTTATGATTTTAAATTATAAACGTAACTTAAATAGAAAAAGTTACAAAATAAAATATATTATTTTATTGAGGTTAGTGTTTTGCTTTAAATTAGTAAATATGTAATATTAATATTAATATTAATTTCCTTTAAATTAGTAAATATGTAATGTTAATATTAAAATTTAATTTCCACAATTGTATAATAGTATTATTGTTCATGTTGTCTTTGTTTACATTTTTTTTCTTTTGTTGCATTTAAACAATGGTTTATACATTGTTTAAATTCTTTTATACATTGATTAATTTCTTTTTATGTATGTCAGTATGTTTATTTTTTGCTATATATAGTTTCAATATACTATTATTTGTTTTTAAATAAATATTTTCATGTGTAATGATTATTATATTTTCATTTATAATGATTTGGTTTTAATTTTGTTTTAAGTATGCATGACTTCGTTTAGTTTATTGGTGGTAAAATGTCCACGTCAGAATCTGGTGTGGGATGTATTAGTGAAGTAACACTTGCAATTAGTAAAGCAAGAAGTTCTCAATCAGGCGCAGTAAGAGTATTGGATAGTCCGGACTCTGATGGATCTGGCCATTCAAATTCATTTACTGTACAGAGATTTAATTATCCTGATAATGACAATGCAAATTCAGATATTTTACATCCTCCATTAACTAGTGATGATGTGAGAATACCAATTGTTGGATATGAAGTTATGGAAGAAAGAGCAAGGTTTACGGTTAGTACAATTAAAAATTTATTCTTTTGTATTTTATATTAATCTTTTTATATGTAGTTTACATTTAATGTATTCTTCATCAGGTTTATAAATTACGGGTGGAATTAAAAAATGGAGACTGTTGGTTTGTATTTAGAAGATACACAGACTTTGTTCGTTTATTGTCACAGTTAAGAAGGCAAAAGATTCCAATTTCACAATTAAGTTTACCAAGAAAAAAATGGCTTGGGGATAACTTTGCTCCAAGTTTTCTAGAAGAAAGAATACGGGGTCTTCAAGCATTTGTTAACGGAATATTAAGTAATCCTCTTCTTATAGGAACTGCATGTGTCAGAGAATTTTTTTGTTTAGATGAACCACCTGCTTTATCTGACACAGCAGAAGAATCTAGAGTAAATGTGCTTTCTACAATTGTTAAATTTCTTTCTAAATAATAAATAAAATGAGAACTATTTCTCTTTTCTTATAGGCAATTTTTGAAGCATTAGAAGATACTATATATCACTTAAGACAGCAATTAAGGGAAAGAGATGCTGCACTTGCAGCTGAAACAGCTCTGTGTAATGAATTTCGAAAAAAGTTACATCAAATATTAAGGTACAAAAATAAGGTACAGTGATATTCATGATAAACGGTAATTATCTAAAATATTAAATTAATATTTCAGTGAAAGACAGACTTGTCCAAAATGTGGAGTATCTCAGCAATAATTTCTGATGAACTAGATATTTACAAGTTGACACGATAAAGACTGGTATAAATGAGCAACTATAGTTTTACTATTTTTGTTTGAATTATTGTATACACTGAATATAAATAATTGTTATTTCTATTAATTAAAATAACTTAATTTTTATATGAAGTGATATGATAAGATTCCTGAATATAAGTACACTGAGCTTTCTTAGTATTAAACTTACATCATAATTTTAAGAAACTTTACAAGGGTGCCTTACAATTTTAATAGACAAATAATTGTATATGTTACATACTCTGTAGTTGAAATGTAAAGTTGACAAGTAAACTAGGAGTAAATGTTAGAGCCTGAGTATGAATATATACCAAAGTATGTTAATCTTTGGTATTTTATAAAATTCAATATATTTTATAATACTTACATGAAATGAGCAATGATTACGTTTGTAATAAATTATAATTAACATTAATAATATTTATTATTATCATAAAATGAAACTATTAATATTATTAAAAAATTTGATATCACAATATCGTGATAATAAAATATATTTATGTAAAGATATAATAAATATCTGACATTTTTATTTTAATTATATTTTATACTTATATGCTAAGTTTTATATCATGATCAATATTATACTTATTTATATTTATATTATACTAATTTATACTTATATGCTAAGTTCTATATTATGATCATATTTATTATATCTCTGTAATTATAAAATAAAGTATACACTATTTTACAATAATATTTTACAATACTGCACGAAAATATAAATTTATTATACATTCAAACTAATTATTTTATATTTTATAAAAGATGGAATTTTTTAATTAAAAAATATATAATGAATAAGAATGTTATTTAACATTATATAATACAGTACATCTCTCTTTTAACATTATATTTATTATCCAAAATCTAAATCACTTGAAGTACTATATTCCATCAAATATATTTCACCCTGTGTTTTTCGTATTACGAAAATCGTACAATATGTACTTAAATACATATGAAATAAAGAGTTATTTCACATCAGTCTTTTTTATCTGGAGCAACAACGAGGCATAATATTTGTATCAGGTATGTGATTTTCGCTGAAAAGTAATAAATAAAAATTTGTCACATAATGTATCGTATCGTAAACAATAAAATAATCAGGATATCTTATTCTTGCAATACTCACCTGCTAAAGAACTTCTAACTTTCTTGTAAACATATGTATGATAGATGCCTATACCGCAAAGAATAAATAATAGTGCAAATAAATATTTGAATGATGGTTCGTGAACAATCGGTGTTACAGCCAAGAATATAGAAATACTCAATATTATCCAAGGTATCATAATTGGTACTGCGTACGGTCTAGATGCATTTGGTTTCGTTCGTCGCATAATTATTAACGACAACATCGCAAGTCCATAGAACACCCACGTCAAAAAACTTGCGAATTCGATAAGTGCGATAATATCTCCCAAAAGCATACAGAATAACGCGAGCAAGCCTTGAAACGCTACTGCCGCGGCTGGTGTCATTTTCTCAATGTGCACAAAACTAAAGACTCTGGGTATATGGCCTTCACTTCCGGCTACATAGCAGAGTCTGGATACTCCAAATTGAATACTAAGACTGCATCCAAAAGTAGATAAAGCGACGCCAAAAGGTATCACAAAGCTCAACCAAGAGGGCAGAACTTTTTCCGCCCAGAGAACGGCTACAGCTGGTGCGCTTATCATTTCCGGTATCGTTAAAGCAGCCATATACATTAAATTCATCGACACGTATAACACAGTAATCAAAGGTACCGCAATTAGAATACTCTTAAGAATATTAACTTCCGGTTTCTGGATCTCTTCCGTAACAATTGCAGCGGAAGTCCATCCGTCATAAGCCCATAATCCACTGTAAAAGGCTAAAGCCACGTCACCAGGTGAATCGGTAGTACCATCAAATGGTTTCTTCAACAATTCCGTATGACCGGTACATAACCACCACATTCCACCAATAATTACAAAAATGCACGCAACTACTTTACATACAGTGAATATATTTTGAACTTTAACGTATAGCTTTACGCTGGTTAAATTAATGTATGTGATCAGTCCAAGAGCTAGAATAGCTATGAGCTTTTTCAATTTAAACATCGATTCCTCGGGAACGTTGTTTAAATATCCGGAGAATGGTTGCACGCTATATTCAGCGAATGTTAACATAATTACAGCCACTTCTGCTGGCCGTAGTAGCATCACATAAACCCAGGAGCATATAAATGCGGGTATTTGTCCAGCATATTGATGCAAGGGTGAAAAAGCTTCGATGAAATATGCGTATTCAGCTCCGGATCGTGGTACAACTGTACTTAATTCGGCGAATGCGAGAGCTCCTAGGAGAGACACTATGCCACAACTAATCCAGACAATTAGGCAAAAACCGACGGATCCTGATCTCTCAAGAGCGCTGGTCGGGGACACAAAAATTCCAGAACCTTAAAGAGAAAAATAATTCTTTGTTTAAAATGACAATCAGATTAATTTCTTTGTAAAAAGAAAATAATATTTGCTAAATGTAAAATGGATCCCCTTATCGGCGAAACTTATCAGTTAATTAGTTATTGAACTAATAATGATAGTAACATTATTATTTTATGATAGAATGTACTCCAAGGAAAAAGAGAATGCAAATATAACTTCGTTAAGGAGAAAAACATTTCTTTATCGTATTTTGCAAATATATAGATATTGATTTCTCTTTGTAATTATCAAAATCTCAAATATGACGACATTATAAAAATATTATCTCTGGTTATACATTATAGATAAAGCCTCAGTAATAAATGTCGTTTCACATTCGTAGATAAATGTATGATAGATTTGTCAGTCTTTGAAGTTTGATTAAAATCGGCTATATAGATATACTTAAGAAAGATGCCTCGTAATACACGAGCGCGTGGGTCAGCGATTAACCTTGATTAACCCCCCTTGATTCGTAATCGTGTCAAAGCTCTATTCATAATTACCGAAATACATTAGGTGTTATTTTTTATTATTGTACAAAGATATAATATCTAACTTGACTTTCAAAGAAAAGAAATTAAGGATGCACATTTGCTCTCAATCTCTACTAATTCGGTTCTAACTAGAATGGTTAGATTATACTGGAGTAATCCAGATATTGCTTGAGAAGCTTCATCTCATTGTTCGAAAACGCTAGATAAAGTATTGAGGCTAAAATATACTTTTTATTTATGAATATGAAAAATATCGTTCGAATCGTAAAAATTCTATAACTCGTTCTCAATATATTTTTTAAATTAATATATACTTGACAATTTACGATACGTACATGTTATCTAAAATTAAATAGCCATAGTTTATTATAATGACTAATATTTGACACTAAATTGTTATACCTTATGCGCTTAAATTGTACGATTATCAGATCTAATATTCAATGTAACCAATGAATGTTTGAATAATTAGATCTACCCTTTCTCAATGAATACCGTGAGAAAGCAATGAGCAATGCTTTGAATTATAATTCAAAGAGATAAATTGTGTTACTGTGTGCATATAGTCGAGCTTATTCAAGCTCGCACAATAATGCAATTGCAGTCAACTATTTTTAAACATGTATTTAGTTATCAAAGAGGTTCCCCTACATTTCTATTCGTAATCATTGTTTGTTATTAATTATTTAAATCTCAACAAAAGCGAAAGATAAAGTATGATTTATAACAAAATCTTATCTACGAAATGTAGAACATTTTATGATATTATATCGAGCATATCAAGTATCGACAAATGAAAGGAACGAAATATCTTCAGAAATGCAGGTGTTGTTAACATGTGGATTAATTGAGACGGTAGCTACTGTTATCATTTCTGAAATGGTTTTGTAACAATACTAATATTTAACTTATTATTATCTAATGCGGTGATACTTTAACGCATTATACTTCACGTAATACTTGTATTAAAATTGTTTTCGCATAATTCGTGCGTCAAACGCATTTTGCAATTATATAACTATTATGGCAAGTATTAAGTATTATATTGTTAAACATATTATTAAAATTTCAAACCATGTAGTACTTAGATATTTGTGTAAGAAGGCAATTAAAGACAGTTGATAACTACCGATTGAATATACTACCTATGTGGAAGTTCATTGTTCGAATACTTTATAATTTCATTACGTAAGCAATGTAGACAACATATGCTGATAATGCATTCCATATTTCTGACCTTTGGTGATCGTCTGACGAGCTCATTATTAAATCGAGTAAAATTGATTAAATTGCTATTATGTATGACGAGCGCAGAAGAAAACAAAACAAAAAGCGCAAAACCAATTTTTATGCCGGCTGACTTTACACGACAGATTTAATATTGATGCCGGAAAAAGGACCGTTTATTACTTTGTTATTTAATATTTTATGACTGTATGTATTCATATGAAAAGATTTAGAGTTACGCCGCTGTTTCCATACCGATCATAACAGCTACGATGAAGCTAACTGCGCTGAAGAGACCTAGCTCTCGTTTTAGCGCAATTCTTTCATTTCCTTTTTCCTCGGCTTGTTCCATTTTGCACAAGGTTCAAATAAATTCTTAACCAGTACCGATTACCAGGTATTATCCAATTCACCAGCACTAAAGCGAACTTTTTTTTTCTTTTAATTCAAACATACATCGCGCGTGCCACACGCCCGACTTCTAAACTGCCTTCGATCGGCTCTACTTTCAATCCGTGTAACGAAGACACGAATCGGCTTCCTTGTGCCTTAGAGCCGGATCGAAGACAGTATGACGTTATCGGAAGATGTCCAGAACGAGACTGAAGTGTTAACGGGTCAGTTAGTCACTTATTTTTACAAGCGTACAATGGTGCCCCTGATAAAGGTACATACTCCGTACCTTCATCGCGATACCGATATCTTCGACGGTCGGTAGTCCAGCTACTGGATTACACGATTTACCAGGGACAAAAACAAAGAGAAAGCACATAGAAATATCTTCGGCGAAAATTTACGTTCTGTGATATTATCACTTAGGGTTTTCCTCACGGTCTTATACTTAAAAGTATGTACAGAATTTGTGAAAGATATCGATAGCAGCATAGTAGGTACGTGCGTCACTTTTTGGTAATTAGTCATATTTTGAAGTATATTGTTCAATTGCCTTACATTCGATAAGATATATTGAATTCCACTCGATTTCCGTAAAATAATGGCAATACTAAATAAAAACTAATATATCTTTGGCGCATACATTTGCATAGTTTCGTTATTTCTATGCTTTCGCCAATGATTAATCTCAGGAATATTCTATGTTATCCCTCATGCAATTTTATCTAAAGTACATTTGCATGGATGGAAGACAAAGAAAGTTTTTAAAAAGAATACAATGACATATTATATATGTTATATGATGTGCACATATTATTCAGAAATAATGTCACTATTTCCGAATAGAGAGAAAAATTTTATAATTTCATGAATTACTTTTATTTATAATGTTGAATAATTTTTTTGTTTTGTTTAATGTTTTTTCAAATTATTAAAATATAGAAATATTAAATATAAATTATTAAATATATTGAAATATAATATTAATACTTGCAATAATATTTGCAAAAGAAAATAAAAATAAAATAAATTTTATCTTATATAATATTAATATTTGAAGTAATATTCGCAACGTGCGTTTTGAGTTGATAACGAAGAGCATGCGTACCGAAGTGATATCATAAAAATATTTCTGCAATATTTTGCGCTTAATTGTTTATATTATAAATCAAATTTACTCTGCATTGAAAATGATAATTAGATAACTAGAATAAATAAATGTACATTATATTTGACATTCTGTTTCAAGTGCCTCTTTAAGTTGATAGATAATTAAGGTTAATACGTCATAGTGAATGTACACATAACCTGTCTAGCAGCTAAACGTTAATTAGCAATGGAAGATGAGGAAAAAAGATGTCACGAAGAGCCTAGTGAATTTTATTTTGAATCTGATCATTTAGCATTAAAAGGAAATAAAGATTATAATACTGCCTTAAAAACAATCGTCATTCTTGAAGCACAACGTGCTCAAGCTATAGAAGATCTAGACAAACTTTTATCAATTCGTTCTAAAGCGCTAAAGGATCCGATATCTTTCGTAGCTCAAATACAAAATGGTGAGCTACCAGAATTACCAGGGCCACAAAAAATTGCTGAAATCCCTTACATCGACTGGACACAATATAACATAGCTCCACCTGATATAAGAATGAGGCCACAAACAAGACATGGACACATTTTGTCACACATACAAATGAAATCAGATCAGGAGGAGGATGGAAAAGTATGTTATATTGTATATTTCATATATATGTACATATATTAACTAGAATATAATTAGATTTTAGTAAGAGGACGTGCTTTTGATGAAAGTAAGCCAGAGACTTTCAATCAGTTATGGACAGTAGAAGAACAAAGAAGACTAGAGGAACTTTTAATTGAGTATCCACCAGAAGATGTTGAAATGAGAAGATGGACTAAAATAGCTAATGCTTTAGGTATATTATTAACAATATTACTTTTGTCATTTGCATATATTAAACTTAGTTTTTTAAATAGGTAATAGGACTCCAAAACAAGTATCCAGCAGAGTCCAAAAATATTTTATTAAACTCTTAAGAGCTGGATTACCTATACCTGGTCGAGGTCCCAAAATGAAATTAGATATTAAAAAAGGAAATGGTCATAGACATCAACGCAATAATTCTTCATTATTGAGACGATCTACATTTTTTCCTCATCAAAATATGTCCTTCACAATACCTGATGAAAGCAAAGAACAGACAATTACAGAAGAATCTGTGTGTTATAATTTTATAGTTTGATACAAATCTAATTTATTTTATTTACTTTATTATTTATACTTATAGGAAGATGATGCTGGAAATAGTATTATTGATGATAATCCTGAACTGAGACAGATAGAATTACTAAAACAAGTAAAAATTGAGAAAGAACAAAATTTGTCTCCCAATAAACATATTGGATATAAGGTATGTATAGCGATCTTAGAATATAAAAAGAGCTCAGAGTTTAATAATTTATATTTATAGTGTTCAATTTGTGGAGAAGATCCTTTAATAGGTACAAGATGGCATTGCACAGAATGCCAAGATGGAATTGATTTATGTGCTGATTGTGCTGTAGCACAATTAGAGGTTGAAAAACCATTACATGATACACTACATAGACTGCTTCCTATAAAACCACCCCAATATACTAGAAATTATGATCTAGATTATTTTCCACATAGTTTCAGTAACTCTTCTTATAATTATTTAGATCCTAATTTTTTACCTGAATAATTACTATTTGACCAATAAAAATTTAATCTTGTTCTTGCAAAAGTATAATGTAAAAACAATTTAAAAATAATTTATTAAATATATTTAGCGTGTTACAAATTTGTAGACTCAATGTCTTTCGTATATGTAATTTCTTCTGCCTGAACGATATTTTGCTTAAATTTTAAATTAATTTTCTTTTTATAATCATCAAGAGTATCACGTTTTATATTCTCTCGAATAATTTTAAAAAATTCAAGATATTGATATACATTGTGTCTGAAAATATAAATTAATACATTAATAATAGTATATATTAATAATATCAATAAATTATCTACAATATATAATTAGAACTTACATCATTAAAAGAACTTTGCCAAGCAATTCTTTTACATTACATAGATGATGTATATATGCTTTGGTATGATTTTTACATGTAAGACACTCACAATGAGAACATATTGGAGAAAAGTCATCCGCATATCTATTATAAAATATTTTCTTATGAAAATTAAAGAATAATTATAAATTCAATTTTACATTACCTTCCTTCTGTAAATGATATTACATGTCCTACATTTTTACAATCATCACGATCACATAAAAAAGTTAAAGCTTTTAAATTTTCAGTAATTATGTAAGGATACGATGTATCAAATATATCTACACCTAATTCAACGAGATCTAATACTGTAAGAGGATTCCAACATCCCATTGATACTTTAAGTTTTTCAGTAGGTAAAAGATTCTGAAATCAGTATTATTTACAAAGAATTTATATAATTTATATAATTTATATAATTCAAGTATACAATAATACAATACAGAATTTCTTACTTACAATTGTATGTTCTACTATTTCTTTAATTTGTTTTGATGGTATATCCTTTACATGTGGCCCATTATTATGCAATCCATCAATCACATATCCTATCAACGGTTTAGTTTTCAAATAATTTATCGACATTGTTCTAGCATCTTTATCATAACCACCTTCAATTGCACCTAATATTTCAGAAGACTTCAATGTTTCAGACGAGGAATGTTTAATAAAACATTGTTCAAAGAATGTCATACTATTTTCTACAGATTTTGATAATCTTTTTTTACTACTGTCAATATTAGTATCTCCGTCACACAAAGCAACATACATGTCTGGTTTAAATGTTTCAATAACTTCCATATATTTATCAACTGTTATTGTATATTTTCCACATCTTGTCCATAACGGAATGATTTTAGATTCTCGAAAACCTGAAGGTGTAGTAGAGGCTGGGTCATGTATTGTAAGAAAATTAATATATTCCTAAACAAATATTATGATATTTATTATATGTATATTATTTACAATTTAAAATATAAATATTTATTATTTACCTTCATACCCACAAAATTTGCAAAATTAATATTACAGTCCTTCATTGTTTCATGCATTAAATATGTAGAAGAAAGTGAAACAGATAACATTTGTGGACTCAAAGTAACCATTTTAAAAACATCTTTAGTTAAATGTGGTACACAGCCTCCCTAACAAAAACATTTCAAATAAAATATTTCAATTTTTCTTCAGATTTTGAAGAATCATGAAATCTTACCTTTGTATAAACAAGAACAAGAGGAGTTTCAAAAGTGCTATTAGGAATTCTTTCAAATTCTGTTAATAAACCAATACGGGCAGCGCAAGATTTTATAGAATTAGTAGTGAATTTCATATTGATTACTATTAATATTTATATTTATCATAATTTATAGAAAAATTAATTTAATAGATATTTTAATCATTAAGTACAATTATATAGTTTCGCACTAAGACATAACCTTAATAAATCCACATGGTATTGATAAAGTTTGTTATTATATACATGGTATATATTACTAGATTGCACGCTATAACGTGATAGATCTGGCTAGATTTAGCCATTGACTAAAAACAGATTAGATGTAATATTATATAGGATTTCATGCTTGAAGTTTTGAAATATCAATATCGAAAAATATCTTACAGCCTCTATGGATTGTTGAAATATCTTCTATGATTTTCATTGATTAAATGTAAAATCGACTGGATATTAAATAAGATTTAATGTCTCAGAGTTTGAAATATCGGGAAAAAATCACTGGTTTTTGAGCGTCCTTAACGCTTAAATTATTAACTATTTTTATTAAATTTTAATTTAAAATTAGACTAAGGTTTAAAAAATAAAATTACAGACGTAATATCTTTGTAAAAATTTTATTTAATGAATGAAAAGAATTAAGGGAAGGAAATTGTTATACTTTCTTCCAATTTATGTAATATATTTTCGTATGAAATGCGCGCGCAATAATTTTGACTTTAGTGAAGATTACAGCGCCAAGGAGGCGGTAAAATTTTGCAATTACGTATTACGATTCTCCAACATAATCGATGTTTTCTGTAATCGAATCGATCTAATCGAGTGAGATATAACTTAAAATCGTCAGTTTTAGGCGAGAACGTGACAATAAACGTAGTAAAAAGCTGCTCATCCAGAAATTAACAAGTAAAGACTATTGCTAAGACTAGTTTTTATATTATTATATTCTATACTTTATATTATCGAAACATCTACAATTTAAAAACTAAACATTATTTAAAAGAGTTATTGCATATATGTATTCAATCATAATCGTGATTTGTTACAGACATTTTCCACTGGATCTAACGGTTTTTATTTAATGATATTTGCAATGATTTCCTATTTCCACGTTAATGATACATATATCTCTGCCCGCATCTAACTGTAAGTCGCATATATTTTTATTTCTCTGATCATTCAATTATGATACTAAATTATCACGAATAAGAGTAAGAATAAGAATAAATAGTTTTAAAAGCAAACCGAATGTTTATAACCGTCGTGTAAGTCAATAGGACGTCGCAACTTTCGTTTAAATCAAGTTATATATAAATTTATAATAATTTATCTACATGTATATCATAAGAAAACTGTATTGAAATTAAAGATATAATAGTTTATATTTCGAATGTACATGGAATTGATGCCTAATTGATAAATACTGAAAGTTTTTTTTTTTTAAATCGTTTGTCAAATTACCTTTTGAACAGATACCCCTATTTGAATTAATATGGCAGTAAACAATCGGAATGCATTAAAATTGAAAAACATAATAATGTTTCGTGCGAAATCATAGACAAAATACAGAGTAGACATGATATCTTATCGAAGTTTGTATCATATCATTGACTAAAGATCAGAGCAGACCACAGACAAGATACATGAATAGATATTGCATCTTACGGACTTTTATGGCCCGTGAACTGAAATATCGACATAGTAAGAAATCACTGGCGCACTCTATGTTTAAACACAGACGAGTGACTTCATCTGTGCCACAGACAAGGTATATGAATAGACATTGCAGCTTACGGACTTTCATGGCCCGTGATCTGAAATACCGACATACTCAAAAATTACTGGCTTTATAGCGCACTCTACGTTTAAACAACGGTGATTTGGGGAACTAGTGAATGAACCAGCAATATGATTTTTGAGACCCATTACAGTGTTGTCAAACTTTCAATACCAAAATGTAAAGTTCGTGCGTGACTATACCAAGTAAAATGATACAAGCAAAATGTTTAATTGTATCTCCAGATTCCAAAACACGAGATTAGTATCTAAAATTATTCCATTTTTTATTATGTATTTATGTCTCTGTCGAAAAGCTATTTGTGTTTTACGAATTCATCAATTCGTTTTTCGTTGGAAACGATAAAATTAATATTTACAACAAGATGTTTTATTTATTGAAATATATTTTGATATTTAATCAAAAAGGAGATATAGAATAGGTCTATTGTTTTATAAAATAATATGTTTTGAAACATTCATTAAAATACAAAGTCTAAGGTCTTCTACAATATTTAAAAATGCACTATACATTATACGTCATCATAAAAAAATTCAATTCATAATTTTAGAAATCAACGATCTTCCTAACAACTCGACAAATTCTTTAATTACATAAAAATTAAATCGTGCTCGCAGCCGATTAAATCATATTATTCGTTATAATATTCATAATTGTATCGTAGAAATGCAATTAGTAATTATATCACGAATAACAATGATTGCCCTGGTTGAGATTGTTACGTACCGAAATACATCCTTGTCCCATCCATTCTTTCAAAAATTCTTATCATTATGCAAATGAACGGCAAAAGGAGTTTTAAGGAAAAACAGATAAAAACTAACTCAAAGCACAATATATTAAAATACAATATATTAAAATATATTAAAATACAAATCAAATTGAAAATAATTATAACTAAATTACAATATTTAAAATATTTTACATATTTAAAGAAAACATAAAAATTGTTTCGCAACAATAATAACACATAATTGTATCATTCTATAGAATGTGCTAACACTAAATTTACAACCGTTTAAGATTAACTAAAACTAAGCGCACGCAACTTAAATCTAAGACGCACGCATCCCACGACGTCCCACGGTGCCCCGCTGGGGGGGGGGATGGGCTAATATTTTACTTATCAACTAATTGTTCCTACAGTCCAGTTTAGATCGTGAAATGAAAG